TCCGAGTTCGGATATTTTCTCTTTTTTCGTTACTATAATGAAGGAACCGCTTACGAAACGCCACATATTGTCTGAAATAAGCCGCATATTTGACCCCCTCGGGCTTTTATCACCAATCAGTCTATTTGCCAAGTTGATTATGAAGAAGTTGTGGTTACACGGAGTCGGTTGGGATGATACCCCTCCGAAACCAATTCTCGATAAATGGGAAATATATAAAACTCAGTTGCCGGAAATCTCCAAGATTGAAATACCCCGCCTTATTACAGTGAAAGATTGTACCCGCTGCGAGTTGCACGCCTTTTGTGATGGTTCACAGGACGCTTATGCTTCTTGTCTTTATGTCAGAGTAATCAAAGGTGATTCCATTTTTACAACACTTCTGAGTGCAAAATCTAAAGTTACTCCAACTAAAGTGTTATCTGTTCCTAAGATCGAATTATCCGCAGCATATCTATTATCAAAGTTAGTTGGTTATACCTTGGAAGTATTTTCAGAGAAAATTGAATTCGATCAAATTTACACTTGGACCGATTCGTCGATTGTTTTGCATTGGGTAAAGTCAGATCCGAATCAGTTCAAGACTTTCGTTGCTAACCGCATTTCGATGATACAAGATAAAATTCCTCCTAATTGGTGGCGCCATGTGTCCTCAAAGGACAATCCCGCTGATTGTTCATCCCGTGGTCTCCTTCCTGGAGAACTAATTGATCACCCGCTATGGTGGGGAGGCCCAAGTTGGTTAAAAAAGCCCGAGAATGAGTGGCCTACTCCAAGGGTGAATTTGATATCTCCTGGCCTCGATTTTGAAGAAAGAAAAACGGTACTTGTTGCTTTCACTGATGTCGATTCGTTACACAACCTCTTGAATAAATTTTCTTCTTTAGAGAAAATTGAAAGAATAGTCGCTTACGTCCAAAGATTTTCTTTCAATTTGAAAAATCCTATGAGAAAAATAATGGATCGTGAATTTAATGACATTGAATTACAACAGGCTTTACTCATTCTCATCAAATTTACACAGCATACAGCATTCGAAAATGAAATTTCAAGATTAAAAAATGATAAACCGCTACCGAAATATTTAAGAAAACTCAGTGTTTTTATCGACGATATTGGTTTCTTACGAGTAGGTGGACGATTGCATAATTCACTGCTAGAATATGACAAAAAGCACCCCCTTCTTCTTCCACGCTCAAGTCGGCTCACCGAGCTAATAATAGAACACACTCATAATGTTCACCTGCATCCGGGGCTACAAACTTTACATTTTCTTTTGTTACAAAATTATTGGATATTATCTCCGCGTCGGACTATTCGGAAAGTGCTAGATAAATGTTTCAAATGTTGGCGACTCAATCCGCGAAACTTGCAGCCCCCTATGGGTAACCTTCCCGCGAATCGAGTATCACAAGTGAAAGCATTTTCAGTAGTGGCTGTCGATTACTGCGGACCATTTTTTATCACGTTAGGCAGAATCCGTGGAGCGAAGACTGTCAAAGCGTATGTGTGTGTTTTTGTCTGTTTTGCCACGAAGGCCGTACATTTGGAACTTATTTCTGATATGACAACCGAGGCCTTTCTGGCAGGTTTACGTAGGTTTATAGCCAGGAGAGGCCGCTGTTCGTACATTTTTAGTGACTGTGGCACGAATTTCGTCGGTGCTAATAAATACATTCTCGAGATTATGAAAACTGCCGCTGAAAACGAGAAGTTAGTTTGGGCCTTTCACCCCCCGACAGCCAGTCATTTTTCCGGTTTGGTTGAAGCAGGCGTTAAGTCCTTCAAAACACATTTTGCTAGGGTAATAGGCTCACAAATTCTCACGTTTGAGGAATTATATACGGTCATAACCCAAATTGAGGCTGTTTTAAATTCGCGACCGCTCTCTCCGTTGAGCACGGATCCCAACGATTTGTCTGTCCTGACACCGGGGCATTTCTTGACATTGGAACCTCTAACTCGCCTTCCAGACCCTAACTTGAGTCATTTGAAATCACATTTACTGTCCCGATGGCAGTTATTGCAAAATTTAAGTGCTAGCTTCTGGTCCAGATGGCATATGGAATATTTAACCAATTTACAGCAGAAACACAAATGGAACGATCCTGGTAATCCTTTGAAGGTTGGTGACTTAGTCATTATTAAGCAAGACAACTCACCGCCCTTGCAGTGGCGCTTAGCTAGAATTGTGGATCTCCATCCTGGATTGGATAAGGTATCCCGTGTTGCTACAGTAAAAACTAGTAGTGGCACATACAAAAGACCAATTAACAAATTGTGTCTTCTTCCTCATTGTTAGTTTGTTGAGAAACTTCAACAAAAAGTGGGGAGAATGTTAAGGTTTCTCATTTTTCTACTATTATTTTATGTCATGTATACGTTTCTTTCTTTTTTTTTTCTCATAATCATAGTATTGTTCAAAGTTGAAATAATCTCTTTTTTTTCTCTATTATTTACATTTACTGTACATATATGGTCGAAGCAATTCCCCATTTTCAAAATTAAAAGTAATTGATTTTCGCGCGCATGAAAGTTAACTTCCACTCCATATGAGCATGTGCGAAAAGAATACCCATCAGCTCAGCAACGAGAGCTACCACATGATTTTGGAGCTTATCGAAGTGACAACCGCAACGTGGTTTTCGTGAATTTCTTCGTTTGTTTTACAAAACCCTCTACACTCGCGAGTGCATGCATACCAGAAGCCTATAGACATTTTCGCGCTTGAACCGCCGTAAAAGAAGAAGGAGCTGAAAAAGGTAGATGGAAGTTCTTTTCCGCAAATTTTCATGCTCTTTCCCGCAAATTTTCATTCAAGTTCATTGTTGAACAAGTATTTTGACATTGTTATACTTTTACCGCCACATAATCTAATATATAAAATTCTCCTGGCCCGGTCACGGTGTTAGTGGTCGAACTCCTCCGAAACGGCTCGACCGATTCGTACGGAATTTTTTGTGCGTATTCGATAGGTGTGAGAATCGGTCGTTATCTATTTTTTAAATCGAAAATTCAAGATGGCGGATCTAATATGGCGGACGAGTATTGTTATCCGATTACATTCAAAATTGGTATTTGGGGGTTTTCATTTGTCAAAATAGGGAAATTCAAAATGGCGGATCCAATATGGCGAACGAGTTTTGTAATTATGGTCAGATTCTATTCAAAATTGGTATCGGATGATTTTCGGGGTCGGAGATTATGATTTTATTCTGGGAAATTCAAGATGACGGATCCAATATGGTGAAAGAGCTTTGTAATAAATAGTAGTTTGAAAAACTATAATTGAACAGGCATTTATAGATAGCCAAACTCGAGGCCAAACTGAATAGAAGTAGAAAATTGATAGTATAGTTTATAAAACGAGATAGATTGTGGAACTAAAAAGAAATATAAAATGAAAATAGTACTTTGAAATACTAATGAAACACGATTTCATAGATATCCAAACTAGAAAGAAGTTCCAAACAAAATAATAAGTGTGTTGATGAATATTTAACTAAACAAATATTTTCTAGAAGAAAGTGTATAGCAAAACAACGTGTGCCAGGTATCAGCATCAGCTATTGTAAAAAATAGTAGTTTGAAAAACTAATGAAACACGTTTTTATAAATAGCCAAACTAAAAAGAAGTGAGTAGTAAATAAATGAAAAAATGAAGATAGAGTGCCGAACTAAAAAGAAGTAGAGAATAAGTAGAATAGTTTGAAAAACTAAAGAATCCCGTTTTCATGGATAGGGAAACTAAAAAGAAGTATGAATAAAATAATGAAAGATCTTTGATAAATACTTATGTGAAAACATTTTTTCTAGAAATAATGTTATTGCAAAACAGCGTTTGCCGGGTCAGCTAGTATTAGTATAGATTATATTATTTGATTTCTTCGTTTTCACAGTTATGGTTCGATCCACATGAGAACACTTCATTGGGAAACTTTTCATTTCAGGAAAGGCTTGACACTTCATTATTTTATTCTTGCAAAGTCATGTTTGGTTCGATTTTCATCACTCAAATGAAATATATTCCTACTTCCTACTGCAACCATCAAACTTCTTTACCAAAGAATGATAAATAATAGTGTTGTCCATAAATGAAATGATCTGAAATATGTGACAAAAATGTGACAAGTAATAAAATTGACGACGATATGACATATTTCAGAATGAAAAACTTGAAAAACTTCTATCAGTCAGCTAGGTAGAGTCCTACAAACATATTCCATCAAAATGAAGCCATTTGAGTAATCACACTTCCATATTATTGCTTCTACAGCAGTAGAGCTTTTTAGGTTGGCAACTTGGAACAAAATTATTTACTATTTTTATTTATTTCAGTTATTGCATTACATTCTTTTCTTCATTGATACATTTCATACAAATAATATATAAAGTATAATTAATTTTCTAGTAGGAATGACATGAATGATCAGACAGTAATTCCTGGTATAAGATCATTCATGAAGTATTATCGACTGTTGTATAATTGAAATTACAAATAGTGAACAAAACTTACATATCATTAAGATACAGTCATATTATAGTGAACGAGAAGGGGAAAAATAAAAACAGTGAAAAAAAAAAAAAAAAAAAAAAAAAAAAAAAGGAAATTTATGGTCTTTCAGCTTTGATCATTCCTTTGCATATAAATATATTTCTTAACTTTATTTTTGAATTGCATAATATTTGGGCTGTTTTTGATATCATCTGGTAATTTATTGAATTTCGAAATCGCCTCATGTGTAAACTTTTTTTGCCCAAGTTTAGAATTTGCAGCTTCAAGATGAAACAAGTTATATTGTCTAGTGTGATGATCATGAATTTCAGAATTCCTGATTAATATAAAATTTGATTTAAGCTTTTTGTTGATGATATAATAGGAAATTTTGAGAGTATTGATTAAAAAGTGCTCTTCCAAAGAAAATGTGTTTGTTTCCTTATACAGTTGATTCGTTGGAGTGTCATATGGGAGACGATACAATACATTTTATCTCGCTCACCTGTTGCGTGGCGGCGATGGCCTGCGAGGCGGCAGCGGCGATAGCCGGCCCAGCCCCCAGAGCGTGCCCCAAGGTATAGCCACCGGCGGGGGCGGTGGCCGCAGGCGGGGCCGTCTGTCCGCCGCCCGATGGGCGGGTCTCGATCGTGGCGGGCGGCGCGATCGCAGACACGGCCGTCTGCCGTTTCTCGGACGATGATTGGGCGGCGGCGGCAGGGACGGAGGCGGCGCTGCTGTCTCGCCGTTTCTCGCCTCTCGGCCTCGTATACCTGTACGTGCTGCAACAACAATTATAATTATAATAATCTCACGAGTAGAACATACGGTAAATTAGTAATTTCGAACCATGAGGGTTTAATATACATAAAGTTAATCAAATCATCCGTTGACATTGAATTATGAAAACTGACCAAGGAACTGTCATGGGAAACGTGCGAATCCAATAAATTGATTTATATAAATATTGGATGTGAGGGTTCCGAAGTTAGTCTGGTCTGGAGATACTCTTGACTTGACAAGAGTTCGTCGTATGGTCACGTTGTTATAAGGTCTTTATATACATTGTTGTTGATTCATATTTATCATCACTACCCATAATGTTTCATGCTTTGATAAATATTGTTATGTTTGAATATAGTCTCATACTTTCAGGTACCCCTAAACTATTAGTGGCTATTCGAATATTACCTCTCGCAAACTATTAAGCCAAGCTAACCCCTTATAAATTGATATGGATGGTCTAATTATAATGATATGGTGAAAACAACCCTTACATCGTGACATGGTGGCTTAAGAACGGAGAGGAGAGGAGAAACGTAGGAATGCCACTAGTTGCCACAAGTTGTGGATAGCCTGACGAACCACTGATATGACGGAAATTCGTCGTTCCATGGACCAAGTGGTCTACCAGTTCACACAATTGCCAAGATAGCTGGCAATTCTTCTCACTCAGCTTGCCCGAACTCCGCGTCGTTCGTGTCAACGGCAGTCGCGTGCGGGAAAGAATCACTTTCCGCACTTGTTAGGAAAATTACTATTGTATCTATATACCCGCACGCAATTTAGTTTCGTAAGTTTCATTTTCCCGCAGTTGTGCGGGGAAGTTTTTCCACACTAGTGCGGGGAAAACATTTATATAAGTAATATTCTCGCAAAATATGAGTGGTGGGTGACACAATATGAAAATGTTAGGTTTTTTTGTTGCAGTATTTAGTAAGTGTGTACATATTCATCCATCAAATTGCACTCATTCCTACGGAAAAATGGGTAATTGGACAACGGGTAGTAAGAATTATCCTTCCCTACTCATCTTTTTCACATAACTTCTAACCGGCTGAACCGATTGGGTTGAAATTTCATATGGGTATTTCGATGTTTTCCTGGATGATTCAGAAATACAATTGGACGCTTGACCGATTGGGTTTTTTTCAAGACCCTGATTCTAATAATGCAGCAATGGTTAGAGTAACAATTTAAATTATTTGATATAACAGCACTATCCAGAAAAAGGCTATCCAAATTAGCACTGACGTGCTAGTCTCGGAAAACTAGCTAAACAATACAGGCTGATTTTAAAATGAGTGCATATATTCAAGACATATATATGAGAGAGTCTAACAAAAATTACTAAAATATTAGATTTTTCCTAAGTCTTCACATTAACGAGAAATTTCATTTTGAAAATTGAACATAAAATGCTTCGAAATTTGAGTACGCCACTGGGAAGCAAGTGAAATCTGCGGAATCCCAGGGATTCTCCAATTCGTCATTCACTAAAGTCAGAACAAGACAGTGATGCCAGATTGTTTCAGAGACGAATATCCTGATAAAAATTTGTCACAGAATGAATATGAATTGAAATAGGTTATGGAAACTAATAGAGGTGAATGTAACTCAGATGAAGAAAGGGACATTCTTCATCTGAGGAATGTAATATGTACAGGAGCCTTATTTTTTAAAGTTCACTGAGAGAACTGTGGGGTGATTATCTCCATGGATCACGAGAGACGGATAGAAACATGAGGGGAATGATAGAACGTCCCCCTTCCTTCCACAAAGTTGAAAATCGACTCACCTAGTAGATTTTCTCATACCTGCTCGAACAGCAAAACTCCCGAGAGCAAACAAATACTAATATCGAGTCCATTCCAGACTAATATCGTCCTGTGTTCTTGTTGGTTCATATTCGCACTTAAACCATCGAAAACGACTCGACGACGACATATCCTTCCTGGCAATCTCACATTGAAAATCACGACCATATCACGATTATCACGACACAACATCCAATTATTTTATTTTTTATTTTACATTTACAATTATTTTACAAACACACAAAAAAACTATCATCATATGATCTGTCAACATCATTTCTCAGAACAGTAGTATCTGTGACCATAGATTTCCTCTTTGCTGTGACCTTTGACAGTTCTAACTAGGATTGTTCGCGTTCAGAGAATAAACAATCCAAAACCGTCAGAAGCATGCACAAGTCCACAGAACCCAAAAATCATACAGTTCTGTGAAACTGCGCATGCTTCTGACAGTTTCGGACGCAAGAATTCAGATGACCATGAATTACTAACAGGCGATTTCTACGGACCAATCAGAAACAGCAAAGTAGCGCCTGCGTGGTTGCGATTCATCCTGATTGGACACAGCTGATTGGATTTGTGAGATTAGTGTATAGTGATGAGTATCATTTCATTGAATTAAACTAATAGATCTTTTTTCCAAATTAGTTTTTTATGAAAATGTTAGTTTCATTTAAAGATATGATCCTTCCTCACTAATACATTAATCTCAATCACCTGTGTCCAATCAGGATGAATCGCAACCACGCAGGCACTACTTTGCTGTTTCTGATTGGTCCGTAAAAGTCGCCTATTAGTAATTCATGGTCATCTGAATTCTTGCAGTTTGTTGTTCTGAGAATGTATGTTATTTTGGAAAACGTCAAAACGTGATACTAGTAAATGTAAACAGTGTGGTCCTTGTCATTAATTTTGTAATAGATCTATTACTATTGGGTGTTAGCACCAAAATATGATGTTTTGTTACTGTTAGCACCAAAATATGATGTTTTGTTACTAAAAAATCTATTTCTGTCTAATTTGTGCGATATGGTTTTACAAGAATGACATTCAGAATGTCAAATGTCAGATTTTTAGGATCTATTACCTTTTGATACAAATCTGTTACCATTTTCCAAGAAAATCTATTACGAAAAAATCAGACCCAGGAACAACACTGAATGTAAAGTTTTGTTTCTGACAATTTGCTTGGAATGTGACGATGCATTTCTCAAACATTGAGCTGAATGATATGGTTCTTATGTCGGGTCGTTATTGTGCGGGGCCCATGAGACTCCTCGAAGACCACGAAATTGTAGCGATGCAAGGAGGTGGAAGGAAGGGTCTAAAGGATTTTTCAGTAAAATAACTTCCAACCGTGAGGTGTTAAGTTATACCTACGCTTTTCAAGCTTATGTGTAGAAATCTTGGGTGAGTCCATTTTGAAGTTTTTGTATTATCTTTCTGAAATTCAAGACCAGGATTAACTTCTTCCCCATGTATGTACATTTTCTCGATTATACATTTTATTTAATATCTCCTAATTTTCATGTATAGTGGCAACGTCGGTTCGTTCATCACGGTCGACTGCGGATCGCAAACGATAGTTGGGACAGAAGTAGAAATCTGGGCGGAAAAAGGGTATTTTGCCCCAAATCTATTTTGATCCTAATAATATTTTTAATAGTGCTATTCGGTAGTATACCTCAAGCTTTCTTAGTGTTTAAAATATATGCACTTATTTTAAAATCAGCCTGTATACATAATCTTCTAATATATAAAATTCTCCTGTCCCGGTCACGGTGTAAGTGGTCGAACTCTTCCGAAACGTTCGAGCGATTCGTATGAAATTTTTTGTGCGTATTCGGTAGGTATGAGAATCGGTCGTAATCTATTTTTCGAATCGAAAATTCAAGATGTCGGATGAAATATGGCGGACGAGTATTGTTATCCGATTTCATTCAAAATTGGTATTTGGGGGTGCTCGGGGTCGGAGATAATGATTCTTTCGTCAAATTTTGGAAATTCAAGATGGCGGATCCAATATGGCGGACAAGTTTTGTAATTATTGTCAGATTTCATTCAAAATTGGTATCTGTGGATTTTCGAGGTCGGAGATTATGATTTCTTTTTCAAAATTAGGAAATTCAAAATGACGGATCCAATATGGCGGACGAGTTTTGTAATTATGATCAGATTCTATTCAAAATTGATATCTGGAGGTTTTAGAGGTCGGAGATATGAATCATTTATCAAAATGGGGAAATTCAAAATGGCGGATCCAATATGACCAACGAGTTTTGTAATTATGGTCAGATTCTATTCAAAATTGGTGTCGGGTGGTTTTAGGGATCGGAGATGATGATTCTTTTGTCAAAATTTGGAAATCCGAGATGGCGGATCCAATATGGTGAAAGAGCTTTGTAATAAATAGTAGTTTGAAAAACTATAATGAAATGCGCTTTTATAGATAGCCAGTAGAAAATTGATAGTATAGTTGAAAAAACAAGATAGATTTTCGAACTAAAAAGAAGTAGAAATAAAAATAGTAATTTGAAATACTAATGAAACACGATTTCATGGATATCCAAACTAAAAAGAAGTTCAAAACAAAATAATAGGAGTGTGTTGTTGAATAATTAACTAAAAAAATATTTTCTAGAAGGAAATATATATAGCAAGACAACGTGTGCCAGGTATCAGCATCAGCTATTGTAATAAATAGTAGTTTGAAAAACTAATGAAACTCGTTCTTATAGATAGCCAAACTAAAAAAAATTAGTAGTAAATAAATGAAAAAATGAAGAGAAATAGGACTATATAGAGTGCCGAACTAAAAAGAAGTAGAGAATAACTAGAATAGTTTGAAAAACTAAAGAATACCGTTTTCATGGATAGCCGAACTAAAAAGGAGTATAAAGAAAATAATGAAAGTTCTTTGATAAATATTTATGTGAAAAAATTTTTTCCTAGAAATAATGTTATTGCAAAACTACGTTTGCCGGGCCAGCTAGTGTTATATACAATTCATCTAAATAATACTATGAAAAATTCACTTTTTATGATGCAAATGTAATTCATGCCGAGTGGCGGTCGGATTAGAATAACCCCACGGCAAGTCCTGCATGTCGTAGAAGGCGACTAAAAGGACGCCAATAGGTGGAAGATGGCTAACACCATCGCCCGGTGCGATACCACCACATCAA